ATGTTTCCATTCTCATCTCTTGAGTTTATTTATTTGGGTGTATTCTCTTCTTTTTCTGATAAGATTTGCTAAAGGTCTGTCAATTTTGTTAATTTTTTCGAAGAACCAACTCTTTGTTGATTCTTTCTATAGTTTTTTTGGATTCTAATTCATTCAATTCTGATTTAATTTTAATTATTTCTTTCCATCTACTGGATTGGGGTTTATCTTGCTGCTCTTTTTCCAGGAGGTTCAGGTGTCTCATTAAATTGTTGGTTTGAGATCTCTCCAATTTGTTGATGTAGGAACTCAGAGCTATAAACTTGTCTCTGGATTGCAACTCCCGCCTGTTTATGAGAGCCATTTGCTTGGTAGATTTTGTTCCAGCCTTTAACATTGAAAATGTGTTTGTTTTTATGGGCAAGATGTGACTCCTGAAGGCGGCAGATAGAAGGATCTTGCTTTTTAACCCAACTAGACAGTCTATGTCACTTAATTGTAGAATTAAGTCCGTTCATGTTGAGAGATAGGACTGAAAGGTATTTGGGAGTTCCTGCCATGTTATCCAACTTCTTGGGGGCTGTGAAAACTGGGTTCTTCCTATGGTTCTTGGATTCTCAGTTTGGGTGCAGTTTCTTGGCCTTTATTGCGGTCTTGTTGGTTTTCTATGTGTAGGACATCTTTAAGAATCTTTTGTAGGGCTGGTTTGGTGGAGATGTATTGTTTCAATTTTTCTTTGCTATGGAAGGTTTTTATTTGGCCTTCAGTTATGAAGGATAGTTTAGCTGGGTACAGTATTCTTGGTTGATAGTTGTTTGTTTTTAGGGCATTTGTTTGTTTTAGGGCTTTGATTGTCTCTGCTGAGAAATCTGAGGTGATTCTAATTGGTTTCCCTTTAATCTTTTCTCCTTGACAGCTTTAAGAATCTTTTCCTTGTCTGAATTGATCCTGTGTGGATTATAATGTGACGGTGGGATGTCCTATTCTCTTCCGGTCTATTTGGAGTTCTAAAAGCTTCTTGTATCTGAATAGGCTTATCTTTTTGCATGTTTGGGAAGTTCTCTGCTAGGATCCTGTTAAACAAATTTCCTAGACCATTAACTTCTTTCTCTATGTACTCCTCTACAACCATTATCCTTAGATTAGACCTTCTGATGGTGTCTTCCAAGTGTTGGAAAGATCTATCATATTTCTTGGACTTGTCTTGGATGGTTGTATGTTCTTTCTCTATAATATCTAGGCTGTCTTCAATCCCTGAGATTCGATCTTCTGCATGGTCTAACCTGCTGCCAAGACTTTCTACTTTGTTTTTTATTTCTTTTCCTTCTGATTGGTCAGCTTTGATGGCTTCAAATTCTTTGTTGAAGCTTTGTTTTAGATCTTGTATGAACTTCCTTAATTTGGTGTTCAGTGTTTATTCTCAAATCACTTAGTTGATTTGTTATGGTTTCCTTGGACTCCCATTCCTTCTGTTGGGTTCTATTCAGCATTCCCTTTGTGGTCTCCCTGACTTCCTTCAGCGATTTATTAATGGATTCCATGAATTCCTTTAGTGATCTTTGTGTATTCTCATCCTGCTCTCTCAATTCCTGTATTACTCTTTGCTTAGCTTCCTCACGTTCATGCCAGTCCTGTAGTTCTCTTTGAGTGTTCTCAGCCTGCTCATGCCATTCCTGCCTTTCTCTTTGAGTATTCTCAAGCTGCTCATGCAAATCCTATATCAGTTTTTGAGTAGCTTCCTCACGCTCATGATATTCCTGTATAAATCTTTGGATTGCCTCCTCTCTCTCCCTATCATGCTCATACAGAGTCCTTTGTAGGTTTTCAATCTTTTCCTGCATTGACCTTTTGTTTGCCTCCTCTCTCTCCCTATCACACTCATACAGTGTCTTTTGTATGTTTTCAATCTTTTCATTCATCATGTTTGCCAGCAGTGTTTGTAGAGCTGTTTGGGAACTCTCCTCTGGATTATTCATTATCTGTTCTGTCCCCTGATGAGTGGGAGTTGAGATACCCAGACTTGCCATTTTTCTTGTGTTTTTCCGGCTTACTCAGCCCATTTGGGATGAAAATAACACCAGTTTTGTGCTAGAACACTATTTTAAGGCAAGCATCAATCAAAGTCTGCATTGGCACAGTCAATAGTCTGCAGATACAATCTAGTTCAACAGATACATCTATTCAACATCAAACAACTATATATTAATGGGCTACAAACCGCAAAGAAGAATTTGGTAAACCAGAAATTATTAGGTTTAGGGAGAGATGTGAAACCAATAATTTCTGAAAATTCACAGATACACAGAAACTAAACACCATGCTCCTAAACCTATGGAATTAAAGAAAAAGTAAAAGAGAAAATGTGGAGTACATTGAGACAAAGGAAAACATGCACCCAACACCTACACTTAACTGGAAATACTAAACAGTGTTTAGATGGAAACTTATAGTAATAAATTCATACTCAGAAACAAGATCTCAAATAACCTAACATTACACTTCAAGGAGCTAGGAAAGGAATAACAAGAGAAGCCCAAAATTCAGATAGAATGAAGTAATAAAGGTAAGAGCAGAAATAGACACCAGAAAAATAATAGAAAATTGAATAGGAATTGTTTATTTGAAAAGATGATGCTATCAAACTAGACACTAGAAAAATAATAGAAAAATGAATAGGAATTGTTTATTTGAAAAGATGACGTTATCAAACTAGACTAAGTCAAAGCTAGATTGAGGAAAAAACCTAAAACACAAACTCAAATAAATAAAACTAGGGCAAGGAGATGGATGCATTGTAATATATACAACGGAAACACAAAAGGTCCTAAGGTTTTTTTAAATTCACAATTATCTCTACCAAATTGGAAAATGCTAAAGAAATAACCAAATTCTTAGAAGCATGCAATGTACAAAAACTCAATCATAAATACATGGATAACATGCACAGATTAACAGTAAACATCAAAACTGAACAAGTAGTAAAACATTTTACTGCCAAGTGAAATAGTGGCTGTTTGCTGTATTGACCTCATTATTGTTATACATAATGACATTTTTTGGTCTTGTTTTATAACGTTTAACTTAAATTCTCTTTTATTGGATATAGCTTTCCATTGCTTTCTTTTGGTTTCCATTTGTAAATAATATCCTTTATCATCCATTTTCTTTTATACCCATAACTGTCTTAAAATTGAAGTGAGTTTCTATCTCTTTCTCTCTACCTTTCCTTTCCTTTCCTTTCCTTTTCTCTTCTCTTCTCTTCTTTTCTTTTTTCTGGGGCTTGAACTCATGGGTCTGGGTGCTGTCCATGAGCTTCTTTTGCTCAAGGCCAGTACTCTACCACTAGAGCCACATGTGGTGCTGTTTCCAGCATTTTCTTTTATACCTAGGACAACAATTTAATGTTTTCTTGGGGAATATAAAGTGGATGAGATACAGGCTCTGCTTTCCCCAAAGTCTGTTATAGCCAGCAACTTCTTGGCTACCACCTTTTGTCTTGGGATTTGGGACCTAAATATCTCACCTAAATGTCTACACCTACCCCAAACTGTTAAGGTCATAGGTGGAATCTTTAGTCAGACCAGTGACAAGTTTTCTCAAGACTCAGATGTATCTGTATCTTGTGTTAGGCTTGCCTGACAGCAGCATTCAGAAGGTAACACTGGCTATAGGGATGGATGTTCAGTGTGAGTCTAACTGACTCACTTAGGGGACTCATACTCCTTAGGCAGAGTGACAGATCTCTGGGTTGGAACTGGCTCACCTCCTAACTAACTTCCTTGCCTGTGTTTCCCCAACTTGGCCAGTGGGGCACAGACACTGATCAGAAGCTGATCAACAGATCACCTTATCCAGGTGGCCTGTGTAAGGCTTGCCGACCTATACCAGGCTCTGTATTCCAATATTATGTTTGATGAGTGGTCTTTGTGGGTGGCTTTTGCCACAGAAAAGAAGAAAAAGGGAAAAAAGAAGAGGGACAGGCAGAGCACCTTATCATGGTCGCAGGAGCATATCTGCAGCAGTCCTGCCCAATGATACTCTCTCCTAGTTTGTTTTCTTTCAGAGATAAATTGTCCTGCATCATTTAGACTTCCATAGTCATTTCTTGACTTTTTACTGTCATCTCGGGTAACTTTTACCTATTTCTTGTGGCTCCATGTGTCTCCAGTTGCTTTTCAATCATCTTTTCCCGGCTGTCATGGTTATTTTTGAGACAGATTTTTCACTGTATTCCTGGGCTCACCTGGCATACAATCCTTCTCCTTGTGTTTCCCTGGGTCACTTGGATGAGAGGAAGTTGCCACTGTGCCAGCCATTGTACTTCTTTAGCAGCTGGAATAACAGACGTGTACCACCACTCCAATGCATTGGTTGAGATGGAGTTTTTCCATGAACTTTTATGCTCACTCTGGCCTCCAACCATGCTCCCCTGATCTCTGCATCCCAAGCAGCTAGGATTACAGGCTTGAGCCATTCTCAGCTCCAAACATTCTTTCACATTACCTTCCCAAGCCAATGATTCATTTTCTGATTTTCTCCAGATAATCTTTTGGTATTCAAGCTGTACATTGACATTCCTAATCTGGGATTTCAGATTTGCTTTTAATCTAAATAATGCCATCAAATAATGCCACTGACTAGGTCAGAGCCCTCATGATCAAATCTCCTTTAGTTATGTTATCCAACAACCAAGGACCAAGCCTCATGTGCAGGTACATGATGTCCATACCACATCACCTCTAGGTCGCTTTCTTTTACAATGCCCTCTAACACTTTAAACTTCTATAACTTCAACCTTCTATAACAAATGTGTTGCATTTGTGCAATTGAAATGAGTGATAAAAATGTAAGGAGTGGAGAAATATCTCCAAACTTTGCTTTTCATGTCTTTCTCTTTCCTTACATCACTAGGAAAAAATGTGAGTTTGGCTGGATCTGAGAAAGGCAAAGAAGACATGATGGGTGATGGTGACAGAGTGAAAAAACACGTCCTTATCCAAACATGTTTCTCACCCTAACAGGTTCAACAAATGGTCCATTTTCTTGCTATGAAGAAATACAAAGTCAAACAGATAGGTTTGGCAACTGCGGTAGGGATCTTAGGGGAAGATTCGCATACTGTGGATGGAGGTATGCTATAAAAATAAATTGACTTTTGTATTATGTTCTAAAAGTGTCCTTTAATATCTTTTCTTTATTATTTGCTATTCATGACAATGGTTTCAAAGATCACATTTTCATATGAGGAAATCTCAACCCCAAATCTTTTTTTTTTTTAAATTTATTTATTTTTTATTGTGAAAATACTGTACAGAGGGGTTACAATTAGATGGGCAAGAAAGTGAGTACATTTCTTAACAAGCATTGTAGCCTCCTCCTTTGTTTCCCCTTCCCATCCCTTCCCAGCCTCTCCCCTCCCCCACCCAACCCTCCCCCCCCAAAGTTGTAAAGTTCGTTTTCGACATGACAACTTGTAGTTCTCATTGTTGCAACGGGTCCACCTATATCCCTATTTAAACGACTTGTTTTTCCCCTTCCCCTCCACAAATTATACTGACATCAAATACAGTGAAAGCAGGGGTTATACTGTGGGGGAGGGACATACAAAGCAAAAAAGAAATAATCTTATAAATGCGTTAGAAACAAATGCATGAAAGAAAAAAAAACATTTGAATACATATCTTAGGGTTCATTTCACCTAACATCAACTTATCTGATTTTTCTGCTTGTCTCAGACATATACTAGTTATTGCAAATAAGGGAAACCAGGGGAGCTATGTTTCTTTGGGCCTGGCTTACTTCACTTAATATAATTTTTTCCAAGTCTTTCCATTTCCTAACAAATGGGGTAATGTCATTCTTTCTGATGGAGGCATAGAATTCCACATTTTCTTGATCATTCATCTACTGAGGAGCATCTGTCAACCCCAAATCTTTTGTCCTGACATCTTTCTTATGTTTCTTATATATGTAGATCAAATTTGATCCAGTACTTAACTTTTTTGTGCTTTTCCTGGGGGTTGAACTCAGGTTTTCCCCGCCCCCCCCCTCCACTTGAGCCACTTTCTTCCAATGGGGTTTCCTTCCTTCCTTCCTTCCTTCCTTCCTTCCTTCCTTCCTTCCTTCCTTCCTTCCTTCCTTCCTTCCTTCCTTCCTTCCTTCCTTCCTTCCTCCCTTCCTTCTTTCCTTCCTTCCTTCCTTCCTTCCTTCCTTCCTTCCTTCCTTGCACTTTCTCTTTTACTCTTTATCTTCCCTTCTGTCTTGTGGTTAATTGGAGATGAATCTCACTGATCTGTTTTGCCTGGGATGGCTTTGAACTGTAATCTCAAATATTAGTTTCCTGAGTGGGTAGTGAGTCATCAGCACCCTGCAAGCATTTAATTTTGTTTGTATGTGGTTGATCATTAAGCTTTAACTACAATCTAAAATAAAGTTATAATAACCACTGAACTTTTTCTTCAAATTTAATCATTCTTGCCTAGAGAATGGTGTTCCCTCCCACTTTGTTGCCTAAGTTCAGTTTCTCCTGCATTGAAATGGCTCTCTCTTTGATATTTTGGTTATTATTTATTTTTATTTTGATCTTTAAGTAGTTGTACAAAGGAGTTTCAATTCAACAAAGCAGTATGTGAATGTAGTGAATCTCGATCCATGTCACCCCTTTCACCATTTTGGTCACAATTTTGTTTAAACAAAATAGTTATCAATATTCCACTATGTGTCAGATATCAGGCTAACTATGAGTTAATGAAGTTGACTCATGTGTTCCTGGAATTTGTAGTTTGATTAACACAGTTTTAGGCTGCCTACATTTGCATATGCTATACCTTCTGTTTAGAAATCCCTCCCTCTTCCTGTTGAAAGCTTACTCATTTGTAACATTTGGCTCATATATAGCATATTCCCTTATGAAAAATTTCATAAGTGCTGTTAGAATATATGCTTATCTAATTTTCTGCAAGGAAAAAAGATGTGTATCATATTTAATATCAGACTATGAGATGCTTAAGGGTACAGGTAACAAACTCATTCATCATTCTGTCTTTTGGGGAGACATAGTGTTGTGGCAGTAAACACACAACTCACAAAATGAATAAAAGTCTATTAGTACTATTGAAAGACAACTTAGATCAGTGGATTATATAATTTATGTTTTAACTTGAATGTTAAACGTATTACATTTCCCTAAGTATATTACCATAAATGGAGAGAAGTTGATTTTTGTCAATGAAAACAAATTCAAAGCATTCCTAATAATGCTTGTCAATCATGTGGTGTTATTCTGCTTGCAGGAATCTTATATGTGGCAGATTAATTTGTGCTTACGGCAGCCGAAAACCCTTCATTCCTACTAACAATGCCACTGCTGTGGTTTATGCTTATGTGCGAGATACTATCTGTATAACTGCAGACTTTTCAGCAACTTCTAATGAAAGGGATCCTCTCCTACTCCGAAGTGGCCCTATATGTGATGATGGAAGGGTAAGTGACAATTAATTTCTGAAAACTAGTTTTCCTTCAATCAATATTTTTCATTGAAGATCAAATTTTAATTTTCTGGTTTTCCTGTGTAGCGTTAAGAATTTAGAAGAAATCGCGGTTTAACTGATAGCAAGAGTTTCCGTGTTCTAGGTAGGGACTCCACATATTTGAAGGGTAGAGTGAGAAGGAGAGAGGCATCTGTGGACTTCTAAATAGCATAGAAACACACTTTGCTTCCACTCAGTAATATAATTTCTGCAGTGAGAGCAGGGTACTTGGAATAAATCTTCAGCTCTTAATTGTTTGACCTTTTTGCAAGTTACCTAAAGTGTCTAGTTACTTAATAGTGTTTCAATTGTGTTTGTAAATTTGGGACCATAGAAGCACTTACAGCTGTGAAGATTAAGTGAGGTCACAATGTAAGGGATAGTACAGAGTAAGGGATGACTATAATTTGACTTTAAGTATTGAGATGTGAACTCAGGGCCTCAGCATGCGCTCCATCTCCTGAGCCACGTTCCAACCACTTTTAATTTACTTAATTTTAAAACTAAAGTCTTACATTTTTGCCTGGCTCAGCCTTGGATGATGATCCTCCTGTCTAGGACTCCTGGGTAGCTGGGATTGCAAGTGGGAACTCATGTGCCTCACTTATTTGTTGAGATAGGGGGTTACTAACTTTTTGCCCAGGCTAGCCTCAAACTGTGATCTTTCCAATCTCTGCCTTCTGAGTAGGTAGGATTACAGGCATAAACCACTATTCCTGCCTAATTTAGCTATTAGTATTAATTCTATTATTATGTTATCTGAAACAAACCAAAACCTGGGAATAAATTTAGTTTCACAGAATTCCTTACCATATCTATGCTTACAAGTAACTTAAAGTATAAAGCATATGCTGTAACAATAGATGCATAGAGTCAAATTCTGTTATCTGCCACTTCCTTGTTAAAGGGTTTTGCATACATTATTTAAGAAAATTTTACAATTATTATCTAGTTTTTAACCTATAGTTTTTACATTCATTATCTAGTTTTTAACCTGGAAACAAACTTAGATGCAATTTTGTCTTCTTTTTAAATGAAAAGTACTATTATACTCATGTGAGAAAGCCATAGCTTACTAAAGTTGCGATTTTATTCTATAGGTAACAAAGTTGAGAATAAATCCTTAATTTTCCAATTACCATACTTTGAAATGAAAAAATTATTTCTGGGTTTTGTCAACATCTCATAATAAAATAACATACATTCCCATTACACGTTCATAACTATATTATTAAAGATTTAGATGACTTGAATAACAGCTCATATTTTACAAAAACTGAATCTATACCATAAGGATAAAAATTCATTTTCTTTCTATGAAAAATATTTATATATTCAGTAAGTACAAAGTATTGTTTTCACTGTGTTCTCAGGAATAAGCTGGCTTCATTTTATGGTATTTTAATAAAACAAAGTAGTTTTTTGATTATGACTTGTTTTACTATTATCAAACTCATTGCAATCCAATTTCCTGTTCTGAATCTCTCTTTGAAATTATTTAGTTTAATAGACTTTACATTTTAGTGGATGCAATGGATGTATAGAGTATTCTCCCATTTTTCTTGACCTACTTCCACTACATACAGCTCATACAAGAGTAGTAATTATTACAGTTGATGAGTCTTAAATTGTCCTCATTACCACCCACAGTCCATCACCAAGGATTTAGCAATTAATCTCCAGATTCATAAGTATCACACTGGTTAAGAAAAAAAAATTTTCAAGAGAAATTTAAAAATATGTTAAATGTAAATAAACACCTCTCATCAAAATTCAGAAATACCACAAAAGTAACACTTAGAATGAAATTGGTAGCATTGAGTTGTGATGTTGTGACATGTAATCGCTAATTGTAATGACATGATTACCACCCTCCAAACTAGAAACTTGTTGCATGTGTCTTTCTTTAGATATGTGTAAATTTTGTATGTGTAGAAGCACGAGGATTGAAGGTCCAAGCAGAAACTTGTGCGCAAAGATGCAATGGAAATGGAGTAAGTAATCTACTACGAGATTGTTTTGTTTCCTTTGTATGTTCTTCCCCCTATGGTATATCTCTTGTTGTCACTATACTGGATACTGGTATCTTGTATATACATTTGTACATACATCTTGTATATACATTTGTCCAATTTGGGGAGGAGAAGGGGAATAACAAAACACTGAAACAAGGACACAGGATGACCCATTGCAACAATGATACCCCCAAGACAGTATATTGGAAATGAACTTTACAACTTCAGGTTGTAAAGGATTGCAGGGGTGGAGGAGGGAAGGGATAGTGGAAGAACAAAAAAAGGAGGGAGTAACAATGCTAGACAAGAAATGTACTGATTATCTTACTCATGTAACTGTAACCCCTCTGTACAGCATCTTTACAATAAAATAAAATTAAAAAAAGAAAAAGAATGATGTCTTGAAGCACAACTTTCTTGGATAGTTTTTTTAAACAGTACTAATTTATTTACCATTGTCCACTAACTTCTTTCAATGTTCCAGACACATTGAAGCTAAATTGAGTAAACAAACTCAACTACTAAAAATTAGTGTTAAACCACACTTTGGGTTAAATTTGAAGATGACTAACATTTTGAAAATTTCTTCTGTTGAACACTTTCCCAAAGTGCTAAATGCCTAAACACATAAACCTGCTCACAAAAGGAAGATTTTAGTGTTCATAGTATACATGAAGGGATTGATTTTCTCCCATTTTAAAGATTTTTTTTAAGGTTTAGATTCACAGAAAAATTGAAAGTTCAAGGATGTTACGTAGTTCTCTTCTATTAATTTTTACACAACCTCTCATAATATCAACATTACACACCAAAAGTGTTACATTTGTTAAAATTGGTGTTAGATATAGTCACACATTACTGGAATTCACTTGGTATTGGACAATCTATGGATTTTGACATACTTAATGGCATGTATCTACTGTTCTAATATCTTGCCAAGTATTTTCACTGCTCCTAAAATATTTTAATTGGGCAGCTATGGTCATTTGAATTTAGGGTTATTATTGAGAATTATAGTCTGATACCTGTCATTTGTTGATTCCAGTAATATTTGTTCTTCTCTTTCTCCCGTATGCATCATAGGAGGCTCCCGGATAACTGAGTTGAACATGTTTAATTCTTTCCTGATTCTCATTTGTTAATGTATTTTCCCCAAGCTTTCATGGCTTTGCATGTCTTGCTTTCTAATCTGTGTGTAGGATTCCCTTAAATAACACAGTGGTATATTTTAATAGTCCTGAATGTCTTAAGTTTGTGGTTATATTAAAGGTTTTTAATGTCTTTTAAACTTTTAAAAGATAACTTTTGGAAATAGAAATCTTGATAGGTGGACATTTTCTTTCAGGACTTGAAATTTTAGGATTTCTTGAATTTTAGGATTTCTGCTGAGAAATTGACTTTTTATGATACATTGTCTTTGGCAGTGAGATAGTGCCTCTTTCTTGCAGCATTTCATATTTTTCTTTTTTCCTGTTGTATTTACATTTTAACTATAACATGAAGAAGTTCTTGATTGGCCATATGTATGTAAGGTTGTAAATGCTTCCTACCTATCCATTTCTTTGTTTAGATTTGGGGAGATTTCTGCTGCAGTTTTACTGAATAGGTTTTTGATGACTTTGGTTGTATCTCAGCTCCTTCTACACCTTGAATTCATAGGTTTGTCCTGAAATTCTTGAAAGTTATGTTTTTTTCCTTTGTTGATTAATGGAATAACAAGCAGATTGCCAATCCCTGATGTCCTGTCTTCAGCTCAATCTCATCGATTGATAATACACAGTTATTTTTTTATTTCTAAGATTTCCATTTGTATTTTTTCATTGTCAACTTTGTTTCTAAGTTCCAAATTTATCATCAGTTGTTCTTACACTGATATTTAGATACAAGGAAGAACATAGACATTGCTATGCTTTCTCATTGATGTTCTAATATTGGTATTTGAGCTCAGATCCTTACACTTGTTAGACCAGTGCTTTGTTGTCAAGCTGTGATTCTAGTCCCTTTTAGCACTGGTTATTTTTTGCAATAAGGTGAGTAAAACCTGTGTTTAGGTCACAATCTGTCTACTTTTTTTGCGGAGAAGGGGGAGAAGGGCAGAGACGTTGTCTGTTGTATGGCTAGTGAAGATCTTCTCCCAATCCGTGGGCTTTCTATTGATCTTTCTACCTATGTCCTTTGCCATGCAGAAGCTGTGCAGCTTCATGCAATCCCATTTGTCCATCCTTTCTTTGATTTGCTGTGTTTCTGGTTCTTTATTAAGAAAATTTCAGCCTGTGCCAAGGAGCCCTAGAGTTTCTCCTGTTCCTTCCTGTAATGTCTTCAGGGTGTCTGCTTTGACTTCAAGGTCTTTGATCCATTTGGAGTTGATTCTGGTGCAGGGTGATATATAAGGATCTAGCTTTAGTTTTTTTTTTTTTTTTTTTTTTTATAGGTGTTGAACCAATTTTGCCAACACCATTTACTGAAGAGGTTGTCTTTCTTCCATTCTATTCTTTTTTACTTCCTTATCGAAGATTAGGTGGCTATAGTGTGTGGGTTCATTTCTGGGTCTTCAATTCTATTCCATTGGTCCTCAGGTCTGATCTTGTGTCAGTACCAAGCTGTTTTGATTACTATGCCTTTGTAGTAGAGTTTAAAATTTGGTATTGATATTTTCCCAGCACTGTTCTTTCTGCTAAGGATTGGTGTTGCTATTTGGGGTCTTTTATTGTTTTATATGAAGTTTTGGATTGCTTCTTCTATTTTCTTGAAGAATGAGGTTGGGATATTGACAGGTATCACATTGAATTTGTAGATAGCAGTATTGCCATTTTCACGATGTTAATCCTCCTAATCCTGGAGCAGGGGAGGTTTTTCCACTTGTTTAGTTCTGCTTTAATTTCCTTTTTCAGGTTTTTAAAGTTTTCATCATAAAGGTCCTTCCCTTCTTTCGTTAACTCCTAGCTATTTTATTTTTTGTGGGCTATTACAAAAGGAGTTGCTTTCCTGATTTCAGCCACACTCTTCTCATTGTTGGCATACAGAAAAGCCATGGATTTTTGAGGGTCAATTTTATATTCTGCTACTTTGCCAAAGTTTCAAATCAGTTCGAGTAACTTGGGAGTAGAGTCGATAGGTTGCTTCAAATACAAGATCATATCATCTGCAAAGAGGGAGAGTTTTAGTTCATTTATTTGGATCCCCTTTATGTTTTCATTTTGTCTTATTGCTCTAGCTAGGCATTCTAATACTAAATTGAAGAGGATTGAAGAGAGCCAACATCCTTGTCTCATTCCTGAAATTAGAGGAAATGACTTTAACTTTTTGCCATGAAGTATAATGCTGGCTGTAGGTTTTTCATACACAGCCTTTATTATATTGAGGAGTGTTCCATGGATTCCTAGTTTCTCCAAAGCTTTCACCATAAAGGGCGTTTTTTCTCCATTTGTTTAGCCACCAGATTCTCCTCTGCCATCTTCCTCCTGACTCAAGCCCTGATTTTTTAAATGTTGTAACAAAGCTAAGTATCTGGTACCCCTTGGATTACAATAAGCTTCTGATAAAAATTCAAATTGAGCTCTGGTGAAGGGCAATGCTATGCTAATAAGTGTTTTGACAGCCAATCAGAGGAAGGAAAAGTAGACAAGTCACTAAACACACAGATGGCAGGAGACGCACACAACTTCACTGTGGGAAGTGGTATTAGAAGGATTAGAATACAGGTGGACCCATTGCAACAATGAGATGTACAAATCGTTATGTCAAAAACGAACTTTACAACTTTGGTGGTGGGGGGAGGATCAGGTAGGGGAGCTGGGGGAGTATGAGAAGGGATTTGAAGGGGAAACAAAGGAGGAGGCAACAGTGCTTGATAAGAAACATACTCATGGCCTGGGAAGGTGGCTCAGTGGTAGAGTGCTTGCCTTGCATGCATGAGGCCCTGGGTACGATTCCTCAGCACCACATAAGCAGAAAAAAAAGCTGGAAGTGGCGCTGTGGCTCAAGTGGTAGAGCGCTAGCCTTGAGCTGAAGAGCTGAGGGACAGCGCCCAGGCCCAGAGTTCAGGCCCCATGACTGGAAATCCCCCCACAAAAGAAATGTACTGATTATCTTGCCCATGTAATTGTTACCCCTCTGTATGGTATTTCCACAATTAAAAAAAAAAGAATTTAAGTTGTTGGCATTATATTAAATTGCATACAAAAATTTCTCATAAACATTTGAAGGTGCTCTCTTTTTTTGAACCTCTCTTTATAGCTTGTCCCTCTTTCCCTCTCTCCTTACTTTCTTTTTCTCTTCCTTCTTGTTTTCTCTCTCTCTCTCTCTCTCTCTCTCTCTCTCTCTCTCTCCGTATTTCATTCTTTCTTCTGCGTGTTTTAGTCTAAAATACCAAGTGTTTATTTTATGAGTTTATCTTCCTAATTAAATCACATAAATAAAATCATACTCATTAAAATATAAAGTAACCAGAATGCTTTCTCATAATTTCACTTTCAACATAAAAATACTTTAAAAATCAATCCTAGGTGTGTACTACTTCTGAAAATATATGTAAATGTAAGGAAGGCTTCTACCCGCCAGACTGCAGATCACCTAACAAGAGATCTTCCGTATGGACTGGGAAAGGGGGCAAGTACCTATGTGTTTAGATACCTGTTCAATGAAATTCTGAAATTGCTTATTTTCAGTAAAATAAAGTCGGTTTTTGACACTTGAAAAAAAGACTACTATTATTTATGATTTTAAAAAGAGAACTAAGCTACATTTCTCTCAAATTATGTGAACCACATATCCCTTCAAAATCTTTTTTCTATAAACTTGTTTCTGTTAAAAATGTCATGATTAGCCGGGTGCTTGTAATCCTAGCTACTCTGAAGGCTAAGCTCTGAGGATCACAGTTCGAAGCCAGCAGGGGCAGGAAAGTTGGTGAAACTCTCTATCTCCAATTAACCACCAGAAAACCGGAAGTAGCAATGTGGCTTATAGTAGTAGAGTGGTCACTTTGAGCAAAAGAGCTAAGAGAAAGCACCCAGGCCCCAATTTCAAGCTCCATGACTGAACAGGAAAAAAAAATCAAGCATGATTAAATCTGACATATCCCTGATAGTCTCCCTCAGAATATTTTCAACCTGCTACTTGACCTATATGATGAATTCTGAAATTTCAGCTTCAAACAAATATTTATTCTGGGTCTAGTACTATTAGTATGTTTCTATTATATAAGAAATCAAATAGAAGATAATAATGTACTTTTGAAAGAGTTTGTAGTTCCAACGAAAGCAATTTGTAAATTGCTGCTTAGGAAACAACATTCTCTTTATTCATTATGGCTTTAGTTTCTATCATATATGTATGTACTGAGTTCACAAATATTTATTGACATTCTTAGTGGGTGATGCATGCTAGTCTAGACACTGGAATGTGAAGTAGGCCAAATTTTTTCATGGAATTCAGGGACCAAACTTACATTTTTGTATCCTGTAGTCATAGTGAAAGAATTCAGGTTAGGAATCAAGTTTCAAAATTTTTATTCTCATGCCCTTTTTAGTAGCATGTTCTATATGTGCATGCACATATATGTATAAACACATACACACAAAAATATGTTAATATATACATACACACAAACTCAAGAGTCAAAAGACAATATACTACTCACTAGAAATTGGACACAATATTAGAGTGAAGTTGATTTGATAATCCAGTTCTTGAAACAAGGCAAATTTGAATAGTCTTCTGATTACATTTTCCCACATTCCATATTATTGAGTTCTTTGGGCCCACTTACAGTATTTTAATGAGATTCTGTGGTAGTTACTGTATCATAGAATGTGCTTTAGCTTTTTAGAGCTTGGTCTCCCAAGTTCCTAGAAAGAAAATTGTTAGGTACAGTTTTAAGTATCATAGTTTCATAGTAATTTTCCCTTATCTCTTGACTATCAAAAATTAAGAGTATTTAAAAAAATTATTGTAGTTTGAAAGTAAAATCAGCTTAATTTTTAATGTGCTTTTATATTTAGGTGTCACAGTGGAAGGAATTTCTCCAAAAGCTGAGAAGAAGTGGCTCCTAGGTTTATACATCGGTTTACCGGCTCTCATTATGGCAACTCTGGTAGTCGTGGCATGGAATAATTGGAAAAAGTGGTTTGCCAAGAAAGAGGAATCCCAAAGTAGCAAGTAAATTGAATTGGTGCTCCAGAGTTAAACTTGAGTAGCATGTGGACCCAAGACTACATAAAGCAATGTCATGAGCAGCAATGATGCTTTCATTTTACCAGGATTCTCATTTAATTGTGTGAATATCCTCATTTGTGGGGAACTTGTCAAAATATACAGATTGAGGAGTACAATGGAAATATACACCAGAGCCATTGCCCTGCTATGCAAAGGGGAAGAGCACATGAATATTCAGAAGTCACAGAATTTCTGAGTGTCCTAGAGCTTATCAAAATGTGGCCTGGATGATCCTTTGATACCACAATATTTCAATGGATCTTGCTGCCTCATACAGAATAAAATTACAAATATTCTCTGGGTACAATTTTCAGAAGGCCAAGCTGTACTTTTTCTTCTCAATATGTTTAAAAGAAATAATTCAAATGCAAAGGAAGACAACAGGAAATAAATATTGCTTTTCCTTATTTGTGTCAGGAAGTCAACCCTCTAGGCTCCTCTCCTAGTCTGACCCTCTTGCCCCTCCTGCATAGGGAGACCTATAGCATTCTCTTGCCCCCTGCAAATGCACCCCCTTTTTTCATCTGGTATATGTGTTTTCTATTGTTCATGACTTCTCAGGGATGGCTTTATTTTATCAGCAATTTGGAAAATAGTTACACTTTTGGACTTAATTTTTACAGTTATAATAATTGATTTCATTGTGATCCCCACGCATGCTTTTATTTTAGATGAATCTTTGCTTTTCCTTTTTTTGCATTGTTTTTGTTATCATATCTTGGTTATACAGGGTGGTTTCACTACAATATTACCATACATACTTACAAGTCCACCTGATCAAATGACCTCACTCATTCCTCTCCCTTATTCTCCTCCCCTCCTAAAACAATTTCAAAAGGTTCAATGTTTCTGTTTCCATACATGCATTTAAAATACTCCAACCATCTCTGTTTGCCCCTCCCAGTAGTACTCATCCACAACAGAACCTGTTACACATTCTTTTCATTCATTTTCTTTAGTGTATATTAATGTACAAAAGGTTTCCTATATCTTACTTCAGTCAGATTAACCTCATCTATTGCTCCTTTTCTAAATAATCATCTTATTCAGATGTTTTCAGTGAGTTTCTGTAAGCCATTTTAATAGGCAGACACAATTTATTTTGACATTTTTCACCTTCCATCATTCTTTTATCCTCTCTACTCCATCAGGTCCCTCACAAATATTTCTTTAGTAATAATCATGTATTTGTGTGTATAATTTCTTTGGGTCCAGTCGTGGGGCCTGAACTCTGGGCCTGGGCACTGTCCCTCAGCTGGTCAGCTCAAGGCTAGCGCTCTACCACTTGAGCCGCTTCCGGCTTTTTTCTTTTTGCTTATGTGGTGCTGAGGAATCAAACCCAGGGCCTCATGCATGCAAGGCAAGCACTCTACCACTGAGCCACCTTCCCAGCCCCTATAAAATTTTTTACTACTAGATTCCCACATATGAGAGAAAATGTAGTTTTTGTCCTTCTGAACATGACTTACTTAGCTCAACATGATTTCCAACTCCTTCAATTTTCCTTTAAATAACCTAATTTCATGTTGCTTTGTGTTTGAATAACATATTGTGTATATATACCGTACTTGTATCTGTTTGTCACATGCAGGTTATCTAAGCCCTTCTATAGCCTGAGTATTGTGAGTAAACGTGAAATAAATATGAGTGTGCAGGTGTTCCCACCTTGACTTTCAGATATTTGCAGAAAAGTCATGTCATCAAATGGAATTTCATTTTTTGCTTTTTGAGGAGCCTCTATACTGTTTTCCATGGTGGCTACACTAATTTACAGTGTACAAAGTTTCCTTTATTCTCCCATACCCTTGACAGCATTTATTGTGTGTTTGATGACAGCCATTCTGACTATGGTAAGATGAAGTCTCAATGTTGTTTTGATTTACATTTTTTTTATGGCCAGAAGTGTCGAACATTTCTTTGTATGTTTATTGACAATTTGTACTTTTGTTTTTGTTCAGCTTATTTGCAAATTTACCCAATTGGGTTGTTTATTCTTTAGGTCTTTAGTTTTCTGAGCACGCTGTGTATTCTAGTTATTAATCCATCATGAAATATAGTGGTCAGAGATTTTCTCCTATTCTGTGGGCCATTTCTTCAGTGTAGTGACTGTTTCCTTTGCTGTACAGAAGCTAGTTGTAGTTTTATGGCCATCCAATTTGTCAGTCCTAGCTCTTATTTGCTGAACTACTGGAGTTGAATTCAGGAAGTTATTGCCTATACCTGTATATTCCAGTATTTTCCTATGGCAGTGTCAAAATTTCAGGTTTTACATTAAGAGATTTGATCTACTTTGAATTGATTTTAGCATAGGGTTAGAGAAATCTAATTTCAGTCTTGTACATGTAAAGACCCACTTTTCTTGGTACTCTTTTTTTTTTAATTTAATTTAATTTTATTTGTGAACATACTGTACAGAGGGGTTACAATTACATGGGCAGGATAATGCGTACATTTCTTACCAAGCATTGCAGCCTCCTCCTTTGGTTTACCCTTCACATCCCTTCCCAGCCTCCCCCCTCCCCCCCAATCCCAATCCTCCTCCTTCCTCCCCTTCCCCCCTCCCCCGTACTCTTTTTTTAAGATATTGAACTTTCTAATTAGAAACTATCATCCAAAATTAAGAAGAGGTAGTGCTGGAAGTTTCTGGGGTTTTTTGTATGTTTTTTTTTTTTTTTTATTGTAAAAATACTCTACAGAGGGGTTAGAGTTACATGAGTGAGGTAATGAGTACATTTCCTATTGAGCATTGTTGCCTCTTCTTTGTTTTTCCTCTACCATCCCTTCCCTCCCCACCTCCCCAACTCCTCCCCCCACAAAGTTGTAGCTTGTTTTCAACATAGTGTCTTGTACATCTGTTACAATGGGTCAACCTGTATCCTTATTTAAGCATTTTGTTATTTTTCTTCCCCTCTCCCAATTAGAAAAATATATACAAGTTGCAGGGCACTGGAATAAAATGCAGTGAAAACAGGGGTTATACCATGGGGGAAGAACATACCAAAGAAACAAAATAAATCCCATAGTACGTTATAAATATATTAAAAAAACAATAGCAAGAAAGAAAAAAAACCACTTGTGTCCCTATTTTGGTATTCATTTCGCTTAGCATTATCTTATATGGTCATATGTACATAGCTTTTGACCTTTACTGCTTGTCCTAGAAATATACTAGCTATATTGCACATAAGGAAAACCATGGGACCTATGTTTCCTTGGGTCTGGCTTACTTCACTTAATATAATTTTTTCCTAGTCTTTCAATTTCCTAACAAATGGGCTGGTGTCATTCTTTCTGATGGAGGCATAGAATTCATATATATATATATATGTATATGTTATATATATATATATATATATATATATATATATATATATATATATATATATATATATATAATTTTCTTGATCCATGCATCTACTGAGGGGAATCTGGGTTGGTCCCATATCTTAGCTATGGTGAATAATGCTGAGATAAACCTAGTTGTGCTGGTGACTTTAGTATGGCCTTGTTTGTGATTGTTTGGTAAATGCCCCAAAGCAGGATTTCTGGGTCATAGGGGAGCTTTATGTGGAGGTTTTTGAGGAACCTCCATACTGCTTTCCAGAGTAGTAGAACAAGTTTACACTCCCACCAACAATGCAGTAGGGTTCCATTCTGTCCACATCCCCTCCAGCATCTGTTGTTATTAGATTTCTTGATTCTAGCCATTCTAACGGGTGAGGTGGTATCTCAATGTTGTTTTGATTTGCATTTCTTTTATGGCTAGAGAAGTTGAGCAGTTTTTCATGTGACTATTGGCTGTTGTTATTTCCTCTTCAGAGAAGTCTCTCTTTAAGTCTTTAGCCCACGTATTTAGCGGGTGGTTGTTTCTTTGAGGATTTGCTGTTGGGGGATTTAGTTTTTTGAGTTTTAAGTATATTTTAGATATGAGACCCTTGTCCATTTTATGCCTAGTGAAGATCTTCTCCCAATCTGTGAGCTTTCTATTGATCTTGCTACCTATGTCCTTTGCCATGCAGAAGCTGTGCAGTTTCATGCAATCCCATTTGTCCAGCCTTTCTTTGATTTGCTGTGTTTCTGGTTCTTTATTAAGAAAATTTCAGCCTGTGCCAAGGAGCCCTAGAGTTTCTCCTATTCCTTTCTGTAATGTTTTCAGAGTGTCTGCTTTGACTTCAAAGTTTTTGATCCATTTGGAGTTGATTCTGGTGCAGGGTGATATATAAAGATCAGTTTCTATTTTTTTTCTCTCAAATGTCTATCAATTATATTTTGAAGACTTGAGAATAATATAAAACAGAGGAATTTTAGACTCAAAGTGTCTGTTAGATCAGGGTGCCTGTGCCTCTGGAGGCTGAGATTTTAGGATAATGGTTCAAAGCAAGCATGGGCAGGAAAGTATATGAAACTCGATTTCCGAAAAGCCAGAAGTAAAGTTGTAGCAGAAGTGGCAGAGTTCTAGTCTTGAGCACAAAAGCTTTTGTGGCAAACATACACAGAAAAGAAATGTTGAAATCAGTAAACACACAAATAAAACTAACAAACCAACAAATAAACCCTTTAGGCTCAAGAAAACCAGCATTAAAGAAAAATAAAGGAGCAAAGTTTAAAAGATAAAAGGCCTTTGCTGCAACTATTGTGATGGTGGTGTGTGTTTGCACTTGATTCTGTTTATGTGTTGTATTATGTTAATTGATTTATGTTTCTTTTCTTTCTTTCTTTTTCTTTTCCTTTTCCTTTCTCTTTTTCTCTTTCTTTTTCTTTATCTTTATGTCAGTCATGGGCCCTGAACTCTGGGCCTGGGCGCTGTCTTTCAGCTCTTCAGCTCAAGGCTAGCACTCTACCACTTGAGCCACAGCGCCGCTTCTGGTTTTCTGGTTCTTTATTGGAGATAAGAGTCTCACAGACTTTCTGCCAGGCTGGCTTTGTACTGCTATCCTCAAATC